CGCCCGCCCTCTGCGCGCTCTCAGCCCGCCGCCAGGCGCCGGCAGCCGGGGCGAAGCGGCAGGCGGGCAGGCGCGGAGCCGCGGCTCATGCCGGCGCCGCGCAGCGCCGAGCCCCTGGGCGGAGGCGGGGGCTCCGGCCGCGGCTGCCGGCAGTAGGGGTGGGGGGGAGAGCCCGGGGCTGGGCGGGCAGTGTCCCTGGCGTGCTCGGGGGCTGGTGCTGCCGAGAGGTTTCCCCCTCGCGCCACCTCCCCCCGGCAGGACTCGCTGCGGTGCTATAGGGGTGTGGGGGCTCGGCCACTGAGCTAAGCCCAGCGGTAGCTCCGGTGGAGGGGCGCGGGTTCGCGAGGCTCCGGCCCGGGGGAAAAAAACGAAAGGAACTCGGCGGGCCAGAGGGTAACGTGCTGCTGAAAGTGGGGTTTTGGGTAAGGGGGATTTGCCCCGTTATTTTGGCTGCAAGCTCCACCTGAATGGGTTCACGTTAGGACACTACCTGGTGGCAGTGATCACTCAAGCTCCAGTGAGAAAATTATTCATCCCATAGCCAAGGCACAGGTGCCTCGGCAAGTGCTCGTCCAGGAGCCGAAGGTGCTTCACTCTGCCCAGAACTTTTGTTTCACTTTTAAACAGGCTGTTGCTGATGGCCTTGAGCCATTAGTTTATAGACCAATCCTACAGCACGGGACCCGAGGGTGGTCTTCTGTACCAGCACTTAGGCTTCAGTAAGATCACAGAAAACATACTTAATGGGATCTTAGTTGGCATTATAATACTTCCTACCATGCATATATTTGTTTTCTCTGGGTTACAGTTGATGTTCTTTCTTTTCTCCAGGTGGAACAACAAACTTGCGAACAGAGAAGAAAAGAGTCCCAGAAAATGGGTTTAAAATGACCGAATACCCTTCATATAGCAAATTATGCACTTCCTCTTCATGGCAATGGCAGCAAAATCAGCACAGTGTTTCCTCTGTCCTGGGACCCTGCACCACGCTTGTCTGAATGCTTCCACCTCAAACTGGCTGCCCCAGCATTTTACGGAAGCTATCCTCATTCTGACTGCAGTCTGTAAGTCCCCACTACGCTCTCAGGTGGCTCTGTCTTGAAAATGATGAAGTGCTTCCAAAGAATTATAGCATTGTTGTTGTACTGTTATTTTGAAGTGTCCTCAGTGTCAGGATATCCTGACTCGGAACAAAGGGGTTAAGAACAAAGAAAACAAATAGTGATACACAGTACAGTAGCACAACATTAACACATTCATACAGTGATGTATGGTGTCAAAATTGATTTTTTTTTCCTCATTTATATAGTTTCTTGTGGGATTTTAGGTTTTTCATATTGGCAGATGTTGTGCAATTGCTTTTTAAAGCAATATAGTTTCTGCTAGAGAGGGATAAACTGAAATACAAATGTAGAAGGTGACAGCATACTACTGAGTGAATTACACCTTAAGCCAAAACTGCTCTATTTTGGCTTTGATGTACAAGAAGTTCCATTAACTTTATTTTTCAGCTACAGTTTTTCATCTTTGCTCACATCTGCACTTCCTGCTCCCAGCTGCAACAGAGATCAGAAGTGATAGAACACCATGAAAGAAAGGCCATCCTGGTAGCATTTCCAGCTTGACTGCATACAACAAATACCAGGAATCTTGGAAGAGAAAGTATTTGCAGATGCCCAGCCCCGTGTTCAGATGGATATCTGAATACTTAGGTGCTTAACAACCAGAACTCCTGATAGTAGCAGTAAGCAATCTTCTGAGTTTTCTAAATCGATAACGTTGTTTTATATCATTAAAGCTGTGAAAATTTAATGCCAACAGTAGTTGCGTCACTTGGGTAGGTACCTGCCTTGTGGATACATTCAGGCAGTGAGAAGTGAAGCATTTGTACAGTTGTACTTTATGGTTTACAGTTCTACAGGTGCAAAGCAAGAAGCCAGTCAGAAACCAAAGGGACAATATAGACTTGTTGCATAGTTTTGTCCTTTCTAGAAACCATGTAATAAATAGGTTGCCCAGAGAGCTGGTGGACACCCCATCCCTGGAAACACTCAAGTTCAGGCTGGAGGGGCTCTGAGCATCCTGATCTATCAGTAGCTGTCGCTGTTCATTGCAGGGGAGTTGGACCAGATGGCTTTTAAGGGTCCCTTCCAACTCAATCAAATCTATGATTCTGTGATTTTAAATGTAACCAGAAGTATATATATTTTTCCTGTGAATGTCAAATAATTTCAAATAAAATAAATTGCTCTAGATTACTTGCAGTTTCTTCCTGCTTTCTGGTCTGTTTAAGGATCTTTTATCTGTGGGTAAAAGAAATGAATTGTGTAAAAAATGTTTCTGGCATTAATGGGTCTAACTGTAAGTTAATACATCTGATTCTTACTGAACTTGTTCTTTGAAATTGTACTAGGTCGAGTGATTACTTATCTTTAACTCATCTGAGGTTTTTGCTGTGATTGATTGACTTTCCTTTTCTCTCTTTTGTCATAATGGAACCAGATAAGCACTGCTCACAAGAAAGCCTGGGAGGTTGGGACACGGTTTAATGATGTGGTGATGATGGTTTGATGGTTGGACTAGTTGATGTTAGAAGTCTTTTCCAATCTAAATGATTCTATGATTCTATAGTCTATACTATCAAGTTTTCAGCCTCAAAAATCAACTGTAGCATCATCTTAAAGACTTTCCAGAGATAAAATCTTCGTCTTTTTTAAGTTCTGGACTTTTCTGACTTGAGTTGTGCAGTGAAGTTCACACAACTTGAAGATGTGACCTCAATATAACACTTCTCATCACATTTGAGGAAAACCATCAGTAATAAAACGTAACATACTCCTACACAGAAATGCACTCAGCCCTTTGTGACAGTTTTTGAAGTAGGTCTTGAGCAAACTCACCTCATCTAAAACTTCTCTTTGGCCTTCTCGACTCCAACCACATTGGAAGGGAATCTTTGCATAGAGGTAGAATCTTTGCATGAGACTCCAAATCACAGAAGCACAAGTGATGACAACAGAAATATGAATGTACTGGCTCTGGCCCTCGTCCATACCAAGCAGCAGTGTCAGGGACAGGAAAGTGGAGTTGGAGTTGGGTCTGGAAACCTAACAAGGCAGTATGTATGACAGGTAGACATGAGAACTGGAAAAGACTTGCAGAAAGGAATATTGTGGCTGGAGAAAAGAGAAGGGAGTAAGATGACAGATTAATAGCTAGTGTTGCATAATTGGTGTGTCTTAAAAAGTTTTACTTGTTTGCTTATTCACTCCAAAGTTATGTACCAAGAGCAGCAGCAGCAGAGTTGCAGGCCAGATGGTAGAGGAAGTGTATCTTTCCAGCCCGCTGAAGCCTGCAGGGCCATCATTAACCCAGTGCTCTGGTTTTCATTGCAAATCCCTTTCTTCCCTTTTCTTTTCCTTTCTTCAAAGAAAAAGAAGGGAGGGGAAAAGAGGAAGAAAAAAAAAGAAGAAACGAAAAGCCATGGTTTAAACTGGCAATAACACCATCCTTTTGGCTTTGAGCTATCCCACCCTGTGCCAAATACAGTCTCCAACAGCTCTCCCACAACAAATCAGGCCAAATACACAAAAGCTGTAGAAAAAGAATGGTGAAGAAAGATCCTTGATTCTCTCCCTAGCCCCCCAGCCTTTTCCTTTTGCTTCTCTCCCCAAGCTTCATTCCCCAGCAGCGACATCCTCCTGTCTGCCAGTACTGTAAATGATGCTGGAACCTCCAGTCTGCAGCTTTGTTGACAGCTGCCTTAGAGTGCAGGCATCTGTGCCTTTATGTATTGAGGGAGCAATGTAAAGGAAAAGTTACATTCCATTATTCCTGGCACTTCTGAGAGCCAATGTTTCAAAAAATGGCACAGATTGTTAGCATAGCAAATTAATCACAAGTAGAAATTGTCTATTCCATCAGTTAACCCATACCACTGCACTGTGTCACAACTTACAGTTAGGCTTTTCCAAGAAGATATCTGAAAAAAAGTGATATTATCTGTTTATACAGTACATTATTTAAAATTTTTCAAAACTAATTAGCAAACATTAAGTAAGTGGTCCAAATATTAGGCACCAGTTTCAAAGACCATAAGATAATGATTTTTAGAAAGTACAAAAAATGAGTGTTTAGATGGCACTCATTAGCAGAATCATCTTAAATTAATAATCACTTATGAAAACTACGCCTTTGCCTCTGTCCTTGGGGTTGTAGATTCATAGACAGACAATAGGAGAGGCATTTGCCTAGGGTCAGAACCGAGTGGTGATAACATCAATGGCATAAACTTATAGAAGGCTGGATGCTGCTGTTATACATCAAGAAGAAAATTTGCTGCATAGTTGTAAGGCAGCATAGAAGGAGCACTGGAGAACACAATAATGTGAACAACTAATGTTTAGAAAGGACAAGGAACTGCTGGAGAGACATGGAGAGTACGACAGAAGAAACATAAGCAGGCAGAGGTGTGCAGAGCTTACAACCTCCTGCTTTAAAGACGACCTGTTCCTGTTCCTCCACTGCTTTAACAATGTTAGTATAATTTTCTTATTCATTACCGCACATTTGTCTTATTTCAGATATCTATTTTAATTTTTTTCTTATTAATAAGAACAGTGACTCTTAGGTAGCAACTGTCTCATTAAATAATTTTGTATTTCTCTGGGGACAATTACTATGTCTTAGCTCTAGACTGCACATACTAAATTCTTTAAGCTCTGCACCATAATTTTTCCCCCAACCCTGACATTGTTTTTAATTTAATATTTTTATTACCAATTCTTAATTTATTTTTATCATTCTTTTAATGTGTACTCAAGGTACACCCTAGGAGATTTTTTTTACTTGCTACCATCCTGTGGTACCATGCCAGTATTAAGAGTAGAAGGATGAATTTCTAAAGGAAAGGTAGGATGCACTATTTGTTACTACCTGAGCTGCACACAGCATCACTCCTTGAGAATTTCACCTACTGGGAAATGTTAAAGACAGATAATAGGTTTACAGTAATGTTCTGGTTATTGCGGATACTTCAAAAAACTCCTTTGAAAAAGGTTCTGGAAATGGAAATACGTGGATTGCTTGATTTCTGTAGGGCAAGGAGTGAGTTCTTTTTTTATTCTTAGCACATACGAGATAACACATTTTTATGATTAACAATTTGTACTACTAACTAAGCAAAAATGTTTGTGGTAAAGGAATAAACAGAAGTCCATAACTAATTGGAAACAGTGAGATTGTGTAATTTTTCCATTGCCTGCTTTGGAGAATTAAAAGTTCAGTTTCAAATCTCCCACATCCTATGGGGCTTTATGGGAAATGACAGACATAAGAGATAATAAAGACAGCTCACCTTAATAAACAATGATAACAAAACAATAAAAATAAGATGCTGATCTCTCATTTTTTGCTGAAGGAGGATTAGGGAAGTTGCCACCACTATGATGTCTAACGTTACTGACTGATGTATCTGACTGATTCCTTTATTTTATGTCTTCCCTGAATTCTTACATTTAAGCCTGAGTCAAGGTCAAGCCAAGAGATTTCCTCAAGGAAAGTTCTTGCTCAGTGATCACTGCAACTGTTTTGTGTTGGATGTTTAATAATCAGTGATGGTATTGGAGTGGGAGGTTAAGAATGCTACAGCTAATTGAAAATGTAGGCAGAGAATAATAACGTATTACATAGGATAATGGAAAGGCTAGTTGTCTTTCTAATAACCTTGTGACAGTAACAACTGCATCATCCGTCAGCATTATTTTTTGGTGAATACGTAAAGAAGACTCAGTAGAGAAAGAAAATAATCAGATGAAATATGCGTATCTGACGTACATTACTGGTATTACGTAATTGAGCGTTCTCAATGAATTCCAAAGGGTTACTGCATCTTTAAAGCTGAGGATGTGCGTACATGTTTTCTCAACTGGGACATAAGTACCTAGAAATTATGGCAACAATTTGAAAGAATGCTTTTAGCACATCTTTTCCTTTCAGCTTTTCCATGCTTGCATCTTGCATGACAGTGGTGTGTGCAGTTTGCTGAAGGGATGGACAAGAGATACAGGGAAGTCGTGGGAAAGGTCTAACCGATGCACAAACGTACTACTGAATAAACAAGCTCCCTCTGACCTAGATCCTCACAACTGCAAACATATTTACTAGTAACCAAGCTCATAGAGTTTCTTACATATGCATCTCTGTAAATGTAGCTCCAGTGGAATTAGCAACAGTGGACTTCTGGTGTCACCCCTGTTCTGGCACTTTATGACTGTGCTGTCAAACAGCATTGATAGTCACAAAAACATGTTGGTTCTTTTCCTGCATTAGAGATTCTACTCCAAATGTAATCTTGATGCTACAGAAAGAAAAGTCTGAGTAGGTAGTCTAGGAGAAAATTCTATCTATAACTCGTTAAAGGCATCCAATGGGTTGCCGATGGAAGGGACATTTTCTGGAAAAACTGAATTATTGATTATAATATATGCTGCTCTCAATAATGTAGTTTCAGCTGCGGTGCACCTTCCAAGATATCCTGACCATATGTAAACCTATGTGTTTCCTAAGATATCTGTTAGGATTTTTTATTTTTTACTTTAACTAGCCGTTCAATACTTCCAAGCCTTATTTTTCTAAGGCCTGCAATATCATACGTGAAGTCAATTACAAGGCATACCAGTTACTACATCTCCCAGTTTTAAGACATTTTGGTTGTTCAGTCTAGCTTTTCTTCTACTGACAGAGAGCCCATAGCAACAACAACAACAACAAAGTTTTCAGTCACCTCTGGGAGAAGAGAGGGCTAAACATGAGAGTGATTGCTCCCACACTCATTTTCAGCCACTTGCTGTTGTGCTCTGAAGATGCTTAATTCAGAAACCAAGATCAGATTCTTAGAATGATAGGTGATATTTTGTCTCTATAAGTACAGACTTGGCAAAATGTCACCTTTTTTGAAGCCTGCAAGGTACTGACCGTACTCAGAGCAATTGACTAAAAGATTGCTGTGTGCCTCTTTTAGCTAAGGAAAGGGCTCAAGGGAGCCAGGGACAACTCTGCTCTCCAGTTCTGTATTCACTTTC